TCGTGGCAGCTTGCAAAGATGGTAGAAGAGAGAGAGAGGGAGAGAGAGAGGGAGAGGGAGAGAGAGAGGGAGAGAGAGAGAGAGAGAGAGAGAGAGAGAGAGCGAGAGCTGGAAGGAACATGCAAATTACGTGTAGTTCGGGCTGCACATTTTTGGTTAGTCTCTTTGAAAAATAGATTTAAACAATTTGTGGGCAGATAATTTATTAGCGCTAATTGAATCCCTGAGAGCTATCATTTCATTCGGTTGAATTATTACTGTGAATCTAGATCTTCATTGACCGACTAACATTGTTTGTCTGTTTTTATTTTGATGATAGATTTAGTGTTGATGAATTCTGGTATTAAAGTAAAAGAACCAAACAGTTCCGTTCATACAGTGCACGAGTAGTATAGATATCATGCATTGGTTAAATTACTTCTCTCTGGGACACGGGAGAAACTTTACCCATTTAGCGAGCCGGTGTCGGTGCGAACGGTTCGTGGCACTTTTCAGACGAGAGTCATTCTGATCGGAACGTTTGCCTCTTTTAGTTGTGCATAGGTAGTACATATGCCGTATCACCCGTGCAGCGACAGTGCTGTGACTGTCGCATGTGCTGATCACCGTCGGGCAAGCGCCGTAGAGGTGTACGTGTGATCGGAACATTAGGCCTTGCATGTCACTCGTGTGCTATACGTGTCCGTGCGGCGGTAGCGAGACCGGTAGACGCTTAGTTAACTGTGAGTGCGTGGATGGGGCATGCCGTAACCCATCCCACTACGGTTGACACGCGTCCTACGCCATTGTCGTCGTCATGCTGTGTGTGTGCGCTGCGTCCGTCCACGTGTCCGACCATTATCTGGCAACTGTCAAATATGTCTACTCTCCGACTATTCAATATGTGCGGCCCAGTTACAATTTGGGTTTTATCAGGATCCTATACCTCTAAGCTATTTAAGAACTCAATTTTTTTGGTATCGCAGTAACACTCCCCCCCAACAACAACAACAACACAAGCACACCGGGAACAACTTGTATATATTGTCCTTGCTCACATTGACTCACACCTGTTCGTTTTTGTCGGTTATTGGTTTATTATGTCAACCAGGTTCACGAAGAGTTTCGCAGTTGTTTAGAGCCCCATGTGTATTGCTGTAACAAATGTCAAAGCGAAAGTAACAACATACGACATGCGTTCCGCACATTAAAATAACGATTTATTACTTCCGCCTTACTAAAACTTTATCAAGCGTATCAACTGTGACATAATAAAATGGGGGCTCTGCTCCACGCCGCATCGAACGTTTCTAAATGAATATATACACATATTATATACATGAATATATATATACACATATATACATGAATATTTAAACATACATATACATGAATAATTGAATATAGATAAGATCAGCCAAACGACTCTAGAGCTGCCTAGCTCACGGCGTGGGAGCTTTTTCAAGTCGGGTTCATTGCCAAGAAATACGTCGGTTTCTTTTGTGCTTGTTTGACGTTTATGTGGGCTGTCAGTGGCGTAGCCAGGATTTTTTAACAGGGGGCCAAAAACAGCGAACTGAGCAAAATAGTATGCGCATTGATGACTTAATATTTTAATGGTTCCTCCGCCTCTCTCTCCACACCCTATGCTCCCCCCACCTCTCAGCTCTGAAATCTATGTTTTGGGCGCCGTGCGGAAAGGCAACATTTTTGTTCGTTGTTCTCTGGTCCCAAGATATGTAACGGTTTAGTGACGGATCAATGATTCCAAGGAGGGGTGGGGTTGTGGCGACAAACAGGCGGGGGGGGTCCTCCCCTAGACATTTTTGAAAATGTACGGATCGCAGGAGATGGTATTTCAGGCCACTTTTTAGTACATGTATCGCTTTCAATTCCGACTACGACAATTCTCTTTAGTAGAACCCTTATTTATTATTTATTTTACTTTCGGATCAACAAGGGGGGCCATGGTCCCCTTTTGCCCCCCCCCCCAACTACGCCATTGGGGGCTGAAACAAACTTGAAAAGTCGTTATCACAATACACGGTAAGCTGTTCGTAACGCTCTCTACCGAACACTGAGGTACTGACACGTACACGGTGCATACACTCACGCTCCCACACATACACGTACACGGTGCAGACACTCCTCCACATCCATCAGTACCGGTGCAGACATCTCACGGCTCCACACCTCCGCTACCACGTTGCCTACCCTCCCGCTTCCCACACATACACGTACACGGTGCAGGCACTCACGCTCCCACCACATACACGTACACGGTGCAGACCTCACGCTCCCCACATACACGTCACGGTGCGGCCCCCTCCCGCTCCCCACATACCGTAACACGGTGCGTACCACTCACGCTCCCCACTACACGTACACGGTGCAGAACTCACGCTCCAACCATTACAGTCCCGTGCGACACTCACGCTCCCCCCACATACCGTACACCGGTGCATGCCTCACCTCCCCACATACACGTACACCGGTTGCAGACACTCCCGCTCCCACACATACACGTACCGTGCAGGCACTCACGCTACCCCACTACACGTAACAGGTGCAGACCACTACGCTTCCACCCGATACAACGTACACGTCCAGCCAACACGTCCCACACATACACGTAACACGTGCAACCCTCCACGCTCCCACACTAGCACCTACTCGTGTAAGCACTCACGCTCCTCCCACTACCCGTACACGTGCAGCCACTCACGCTCCACCCATACACGACACGTGCGAACTCACAGCTCCACACATACCGTACACGGCAGTGCACTCACGCTCGCACACATACACGTACACGGTGCAGACACTCACCTCCACCCTACACGTCCACGGTGCGCCCCTTCACGCTCTCACACATACACTAGCACGGTGCAGACACTACACTCTCCCACACATACACGTACACGGTGCAGGCCTCACTCTCCCCCATACACGTACACCGGTGCAGACACATCACGCTCGCACACATACCTACACGGTGTCAGGCACTCACGCTCGCACACATAACACGTACACGGTCGAACCCTCACGCTCACACACCGTACCGTTACACCGTGCAGACACATCACGCTCCCACACTACGTACACGGTGGCAGGCACTCACGCTCTATAGCGCACACATACACGTCACGGTGCGGCATTCACGCTCCACAAACATACACGTACACGGTGCAGACATCACGAGCTCCACACATCCACGTACCCGTGCAGAGACACTCACGCTCCCCACACTACACGTTACAGCGGTGGCAGGCACGCCGCTCCCACACCAACACGTACACCTGCAGGCACTCACCTCCCACACATACACCGTACACGTGCAGGACACTCACGACTCCACACCATACACGTACACTGGTGCCGACAGCTCAGCTCCCACACTACCCGTACAGGTGGCAGACACTCACACGCTCCCCCCATACACGTACACGGTGCAGACACTCACGCTCCCACTACACGTCAGGGTGCAGGCACCTTTCACGGCCCCCTCCTCACCTACACGTACCCGCCGTGCAGCATTCACGCTCCACCCTACCGTACACGTGCAGGCACTCACGCTCCACCATACACGTAACCGGTGCAGCACTCACGCTCCCGCCACATACCCGTACACGGTGCAGGAGCACCGTACCGCTCCCACACATACCGTACCGCGCAGACACTCACGCTCCACACACATACACGTACACGGTGCAGCACTACCCGCTCCACACACCTCCACGTACACGGTGCAACCTCACGCTCCACACCTCCACGTCCGTTGCGATACACTCACGCTCCCCCACTAACGTCCACGGTGCAGACCCTCACCCGCGTCTCCCACACCTAACACGTACACAGTGCAGACACTCCACGCCCACACTACACTACAACGTGCAGACACGCCGCTAACACGTACACGTACCGGTGCAGGCACTCACGCCTGCGCCACACATACATCGTACCGGTGGCAGCAACCTCCGCCCACATCCACGTCCACGTGCAGGACGCAACGCTCCCAACCTACCCGTACACAGGTGCAGGCACTCACGCTCCCACCATACACGTACACGGTGCAGACACGGTCACGCTCCACACATACACGTACACGGTGCAGGCACTCAGCTCCAACCTACACGTCACACGGTGCAGACCCTCCAGCGCTCCACACATACTCCACGGTGCTGCAGACCCTCACGCTCCACACATATATCGTACACGTGCAGCACTCCACGCTCACCACCTACACTACACGTGTGCATACCTCACGCTCCCACACATAACACGTACACGTGCAGACACTCTCACGCTCCACCCTACACGTACACAGTTGCAGACACTGCACTGCTCCACACATACACGTACACGTGCAGACACGCACGCTCCCACACGTACCCGTACACGTGCAGCACTCACGCTCCCCCACATACAGCGTACACCGGTCAGACCTCACGCTCACCTACACTTCCACGGTGCAGCACGCCGCTCCCACAGCATACACGTAAACACGGTGGCCAGGCACTCACGCTCCAACACATACACGGTACAGGTGCAGACCTCACGCTCCACCCATACACGTACCCCGGTGCAGGCACTCATCGCTCCACACTATACACGTACACGGTGCAGACACTCCCGCCCACATCATACACGTACACCGGTGCGACACTCACGCTCGCCCATACCGTACAACGGTGCCGACCATCACGCTCGTCACACATACACTACCCGACCGACCTCACGGCTCCACAGCATACACGTACACGGTGCATCGCTCACCTCCCACTCACTACCCGTACACGGTGCGGCCTCCGCCTCCCCCATCCCGCGTACATCGGTGCAAGACACGCACGCTCGCCACACATATCCGTACACGGTGCAGACATCACGCTCGCACACCTACCAAGTCCGGTGCACTACACTTCACGCTCCCCACATACATCACCCGTGCCGACACTCACGCTCCTCACACATCACGTACACGGTGCAAGACGCACGCTCCACCACATACACGTACCGCCGTGCAGGCAGCTGCACCTCCGCACACATACCGTACACGGTCGCAGCCCCGCACGCTCCCCCCTTGTACACGTCCGTCGGCACTCCGCTCCACACATACACGTCCACGGTGCAGGCACGCCCGCTCCACACAATAACACGTACCACTGCAGACACTCACTGCTCCCACACATCCACGTACATTCGTGCCAGGCACTCACGCCCCAACCACATACACGTACACGCCCACTCCCGCTTCCACCTACACGTACACGTGCAGACACTCACGCTCCACACCTATACACGTATAACCAGTGCAGACACTGTAGTCACGCTCCCCACATACACGTAACGTGCACGCCTTCACGCTCCAACCCATACACGTACACGGTGCATACACCTACACGCTCCCCCACATACACGTAACACGGTGCCAAGGCTCCCGCTCCCACCCATACACGTACACCGGTGCAGGCAACTCACGCTCCCCACAATCACGCTACACGGTGGCCGGCACTTCACGCTCCCACACAATACACGTCCCACGGTGCAGGCACTCACGCATCCACACATACACGACCCGGTGCGACCACTCACGCCCCACAGCATAACGTCACACGGTGCAGACCGCTACGCTCCACCATATCACGTACACGGTCATCACACTCACGTCCCACACATACACCGTACACAGTGCAGACACTCACGCTCGCACACAATACACGTACCACGGTGCCAACGACTCACGGCTCCCACACATCACACGTCACCGTCCGCCACTCACCTCCACCATACCCGTTACACGTGCAGCACTCACGCTCCCACAACATACACGTGCACGGTGCAGACACTCCGGCTCGCCCACATAACGTACCGGTCAGACCCTCACGCTCATCACAATCATATCACGTACCATGGACAGACACTCCCGCTCCACACATCACTACCCGTGCGACACTCACGCTCCCACTATACACGTCACAGTACACGCACTTCACGCTCCCACACATACACGTCAAACCACGGTGCCAGACACTCACGCTCCAACATACCGTACCCGTGCAGACACTCACGCTCACACTTACAGCGTACACGGTGCAGACCTAACACGCTCCCCCACATAACACGTCCCGGTGCAGGGCCTCACGCTTCCCACACATACACGTACCCGGTGCAAGCACACGTACACGCTCCACACATACACGTACACGTGCATACCTCCACTCTCCCGAACCTTACACGTCCCACGTGCAGGCACTCACGCTCCACACATACAATATACGGTTGCAGCACTCACGCTCCACACAGTACAACGTACACGTGCAGAACTCCACGCTCCCACTACATCACACGTACACCGGTGCAAGCCACCTCACGCTCCACCCATACCCGTCCACGGTCACATCTCACGCTCTCCAACTACACGTACACGTGCGGCCCGCGACGCTCCCACACTACACGTACACGGTGCAGGCCACTTGATCCTGCCCACACATACACGTACACCGGTACCGACACTCACTCCCACACATAATGACACCGTCTCACGGTGCAGACCTCACGCTCGCAGACACATACCCGCCGGTGCAGACACTCCACAGCTCCCACATACACGTACACGAGGTGCCGGCATCACGCTCCTCACATACACGTATACACAGTGCACGAGACGCTCACGCTCCCACACATCCACCGTACACGGTCATACACTCACGCTGCCCACACATATCCCGTACACGGTCAGGCACTCACCTCACAACATACACGTACACGGTGCAGACACTCACGATCCCACACATACACTGTACACGGTGCAATCACTCACGCTCCCACACATACACGTACACGGTACAGACACCACGCTCCCACAATAACGTTAACGGTGCAGCACTCGACGCTTCCCCACATACACGTACACGTGAAGACCTCAGCTCCTAACATAGCACTCCGGTGCAGCCTCCCGCTTCCACCACTAACACGTACACGGTGCAACACTCACGCTCCACACATCCACGTACACGGTGCAGACACCACGCTTCCCCACATACACGTCCCGGTGCAGGACACTCACCTCCACACATACACGTACACGGTGCAGACACTCACGCTCCCACACATACACGTACACGGTGCAGACACTCACGCTCCCACACATACACGTACACGGTGCAGACACTCACGCTCCCACACATACACGTACATGGTTGCAGGCTCGCGCGCGTTGCTGACTGCATGTGCCTTATCTGTGCAGATGCGAAGCTCCTCAGCTGGAGCCTAATCATGATGGGCACTAGCACGAAGCCCGTCGTCGAATCGTTCAGCTTCCACGCGCCGACGCCGTCCGACTGGCCGTCGCTGCCCACCGCCGACGCCACCGCCGCCACAGACTTGATCCTCTACCCAAAGGATCTGTCGCCTCCTGTCTACGGTTCGGAACGACGCGTCGAGGAGGCGCGCACCCGCGACAAGGTGTGGCGCCGCCCTGCGACGTCGTCCGGCGGCACGCGCAAGCCGAACTCGCGGCAGAACGCGAGGCCGCGGCGGCCGCCTCCGCGGCCGACGGCGCGCGTCGCCAACGTGACGGACGTGCCGGAGTACGTGCGCGACTACCGGCCGCAGAGCAACGACCACACGCCGCGCGTCACCTACCACACGCTGCCGCCGGACTTTGCCGCCGCGCCGGTGCGCCGCGTCAAGAACTGCTCCGAGGTGCTGTACAAGTACAACCCTAGCGAACACTACATCATCGGCTGGAAGAACGTGACGACCGACGACCTGGGCATACCGCCGAACAAAGGCGAGCATCCGTCTATCCTCGCAGCATCTGTGTGTCCTCACAGCGTCTCCCTATCCTTACGGCGTCTCTCTTACTTTCTCTCTCTCTCTCTCCCATACCATTTATTTATACTTTCATTCTTACACTGCTTCCCACAGCACACCTCACAGCACATCTCCCCACAGCGCCTCCACGTAGCACTTCTGCTTACGGTTACTCTCCCCACAGCATCTCTCCCCACAGCGCTTCTCCGCATAGCGCCTCTGCTTACAGTAACTCTCCCCACAGCACTTTTCTTCATAGTATCTCTTCCCGCAGCGCATCTACCTTCGCTATCATGGTTCTCTCACATCGAGGTGATTTCGTATACGAGTTGAATAAGCATAGCTTGGCTGGTTAAGTTTGCAGCGATGTGGTTATTACTGGGAATTTTCCTGCCTGTAGCTAAGTCGATATCAGGCGAGATATATTCGTGAATATGGGAAACTGCGTCAATAATTAACTCGCTTGTTCTATTCCCTCTCGCTTTATTAGACCGTAATGTACCTTAGCCCTACAGTCTCGTGTTGCACCGTGTAGTTTCTATTTGGTTGTTAATTAATTCTCGGTGGTTGTCTTGGTGGCTACGTTGCAGTATAATCTTGCGTTTATTGACGGCGTTTTCTTTCTTTACGTTTTGTGCTTACTGTTTTTCACAACCATCACTTAATTATTCTATGTGCGCAAGCAAAAAAGGTCTTATTACTGCATCTTGGCATTATGTATCTCATAAAGTGTTGCCACGTAGCTAATGTTCGCAGTGGTTTACATGGCTGGCTGTGATCATCCGCTGTTTACCTTTGATTTGATTTGGCTTTTTACATGTATAAGTGACGGTGGTTTTGTTTCTCAGCCATAAACAGGTGATGGATAGCACTAAATGTGTTTTACCACTCGTTATCGCACTTACCCAAGCCCCCTAGTTCCAACACGCACGCACTTACTTTAGTTCATTTTGACTGTTTTGCTTGACTTTACTTTTTTACTTGTTTGCGTGCATGTTATTATTGAATAGCGTAGGATTGCTGGTATTTTGTTTGTCAGTGCGTAGTGTACTGCGTTTATTTGCGACGTGTTCGTGCAAAAAAAAAACGTTTCACAGAAAGCAATGCGTAACAGTTGTTCCCCTAGCTTGCCTCTTACTCATCGTCTGTCATATAATATCACGCGAATGCACGAGCAATTAGTACATTTTATGGTTGCCTCTAATTACGGCAGTCGAGACAATTTCTTATAATTACGGTGCTACTGAATCGTTTCAAAATCGGTTCGTTGTCATATCTAACGTTATGGGAACTCGATGCAAAATAATAAAGCGACAATCGAAAATTAATTCTCGTCGTCTTGAATCGCAGAAAATAATCACAGCTTTCACGGTTTGTTTTCGCGCAGGTGCCAACCTGGAGGACTGGACACTGGTCATGTACGGCACGTCCGGCAGAAGTTGGGACGCTAACAGGCAGGCGCGCGAGGGCACGTGCCTCATGTACAACAGCGCTGCCGCGGCATCCCTCGCCTGCAGCATCCACGTCTTCATCCTCATCCTGCTGATGCTGCGGTGAAGCCTCGATACCGCGTTGTCGCGAAGCGATGGATCGTTGACATTGTTGCGTGAGGCGTAGGGGAGGGACTGTTGCTGTCGCAGAGTTGCGGTTTTATGAGTAATTGTCATGGCCTCGGTTAGTGAAACAACTAGGGACAACAGAAATGAGCTATAATGTCATGATTGTGGGTTCTGTGTGCGCACACGTGTGTGTACCCCTGACGTAAACGCAAGGTAAATTTCCCGTTAACGTCCATAGATGGTGGTGGGCAGTATATGGATATAGCAGATCACTTGTAAATGCGAAGGTAATCAACTAGTATTGTAAATCATTAAAATCAAAATTGATAGATTTTGCTCACCAGATGGGATCACCATTCCAATGACATTGCGTACACACGCGCGCACACACACACACGCTCACGCACGCACGCACACTCCAAGCACGTTCACCTTGATCACCTCACGCGCAGCCGTTATATGGTGTTAACGTACGAGGTTTGTGATCAGGCACCAGGGGGCTTTCTGTCTGACCTAGCACAGCGCAGAGTGCCGGAAAGCGAAAAGTGCCATTGTCTAACCGGTTGTGAAATGTAGACCAATGGAGCAATCCTTGCGGTCAGCCAATCACAACAATGCTCTTTACATCCAGAGACTGCGCTATTTTCCGCGGGACTGGATATGCGCAGGTAACCGACGAGCCCTGAATTTGGCCGATATGTGGCGCCGATGACCGTTAGGAAACAATCGCCTATACATAATCTTGCAGTTTATTTTGCGCCACATACTGCATTTACCTGAGTGCTAGTGTGTAGTGTGCTAGGTGTGCATGCCTTGGCTTATGTTTAGCAACGACAATGATATCGATTCTAAATTAATTAATAATATATCCGCTTCGGGTGCTAAAAATGCGTGGTTGCCAGGCGCCACACTTTGTAGTAGGTAGAATCTATATAGGCAGTCGTAGTGTGTGAGCAATTGTAGACATGACACAGTGTATCTGCATTGTCAGTGTTTTGAACGCTAACGTGGGTCATCAGTGATCAGTGATTTTTGGCCTTCAATGTGAATAATGTTCTTCTAAAAAGCCGAAGCAGTGTTCATAATAACGATGCGTGCGTTTTTCTATAATTATGGGTGCAAAATTACGGACCGAAGCTTATAATTACGTAAGGGATGTATACAATTCTGGTCAACAGCATTGCAATGCTCAGTTTCCGTTTGAGCCCAGTAAATTTGCGAAGGTTCTTATTTCTGCCATTATCTAGTCACTGCTTTAATTCTGCGCGTGAGTCGTGGAATGCACGATGAAACAATACATACATGACATGTCTATCACGTCTGTCACGCGATGTGATGGGGCGCATCGCGACCGCATTTGTAACGTAATCTTGCTCCTTTCATGTGAGTATAGTGGGAAGCAGCAACGTTGTGCTATTTTGTAGTAACCTGTGCGCGGCTTGGTCACTCACGTCTGCAGTGGCATTAGAACTTCCACGACCAGCGGTCGTGGGCAGCTAGCGCATATTTTTGTGATTTGTCACCAATGATCGAAGCAGACACGCTAAGAATATACGAGCTGCCGCCTCTGTATACTTGCGTGTGTTTGCTTCGGAATGTATATATACAATATTCGGGACCATAATGTGATATTTAACGATGGACTTTTGCGCGTAGCGGGTATGTGTCCGAGACCCAACAATATTAGTGCTTGTCTCGGCCACCAGGTGGCATTCGTGGAAGCAGAGCGGCTACACAGCTAGTCCAACATATCAGCTATCGGATAGGGAGTTAAGGTTGTGCGCCTCGTTCGCGCTATGAGCACCCAGTTTCAGCGCTCCAGGCACGGGATTACAGGGGATTATTTCGCGTTAGATTTAATTCCCTGCTTTCGATAACTTACCTTGATTTCTAGTTATATTTCTACCGCACGAGGCGCGTGATTGTGTTGTGAGTAACTTGTTGCTGAAGTAGGTAGTCGGGGTACAGTAGTGAGAGAGGGGTTGCAGGAGCTCGTAGAAATAAAGGAGGTCGCGTGTGTAAAGGAAATAATATACTTTATTAATAATAATTTTCTAACAAGTTTCTAAAGGCGAGAAATGGGTCACTCGCGTTCAGCAGTGAATAGCATCCAGTTACAAAACAAAACAACCCGCAAGGCTATTAGATGCACAATATCTCTTCGCATATTGAATATTGACATGCAATGTACGTGAATACGTGGCATCTAATAATTGTTTGTTTTTTAAATCGCATGCGTCAATGTGAAGTGAAATACCTGGCATGGCGCGGCATTTTTACGCGTTTGATTGTCACAGATCAGTTGGTTTCATGTGTTTTAGTGGTAGTATGTACGTTAATGCACGTATTCGTTACCCGCGTAACCCGTGCATGTTGAACAGTCGAACACGCATTAGGTTCATAATCAATATAAGAGCTGGGTTGCTCTATCGCTGGAAGAGGTCTAAATGAATGATCTAGAGCGCATAAACTGTAGTTTATGTGCGCTTGAAGTAATCTGTTGTCATTATTTGAATATAACGGGACTGTAACTAGGCGAGTGCTAGTGTGTGTGCGTGCGTGCGTGCGTGCGTGCGTGCGTGCGTGCGTGTGTAAGAGAGAGGGGGGCCTTTATGTTAACCGCCTATATGTACGTTCTTGTTCCGAGTAGTTTCTACTTGTGAAACTATTCCAACAGTCGATTTTAAGTAGATATATGATTGACCATCCATTTTTATGGTGGCACAAGTGGGTCACAGTGTATAGTCGTGGGCGCGACCGTGCGCCTTACACGGACAAGCGTTATTCTATGACTATCGTAAGGTTGTTTTACACGTGTTCCATTAATTTCTGCTTGTGAGACGTTTGTGAAAACTATTGTAGAATAGCCGTACTGTACTATAATGTAACACCACCGACACTAGATTTTCAGAATGGCACACAAAAGCTTAGTATCGTGGTTGTATTGTACAGAATATGTCGATGTTGTGTAACTTGGTCAAACTGTTTAAATTTATCTGAAAGGATTATTCAAGACTATAGACACGTATAGTTCAGACTGTAATAAAACTTTTGATACATTCTTCCCATTTTTATTGTTGTTCTATTAATCAGTGTCAATAAATATAGTAATAATAATCACCGATCTCACGGTTCGATAACCAGCGGGTATTTTTTGTTCTCTTAATAATTAACTGAAAATTAGAATCAAACTAGCATTAATTTTTCCAGGCTTCACGAAAACGCTCTCAACTTCATTCGGTGGGAACCCAGAAAAACGCGGAATAGAAGGATCTCGTGAACAAAATATAGCCTAAAAATATATACATGCATATACATTTGACTTTCTACGGCAAGCTAACGCAAGACGTTCATTCATCCACAATCTATACCTTACTCTTTTCTTCATATCCTTCCATTTTCCATTTATCCAATTCAATTGCATGCCATACCGTCCTATTCCATTTCATCCCATCCTATTCCAAATCATTTCACCCCATCAAAAACGCACATGTAACCCACTGACTGCAGCATCATGTCCGCCCGTTTGCACTACATCTGCCCATATAGTAGAGTAGGAAAATGGGGTCCCCATGCACCTGATTGATATATTTTTTATCAATCGGGTGCATGGGGACCCCCTCTTCCTACTAGACTAATAGATACACACAACACATGATGATCTACCGTGGTGTCAACCTCGTCTTTTCTAATCGGCTTCAATTCCGTGTTTCCTGCAGGTGGCGCCACTTCCTAAGTATCGCAATAATCGCCATTGTCCGAACCGGCAGCGTCTATTTTTTCCGTACCGCAAATGCGCAAACGTCCTACACGGGTTCCTCTGATTGGCTGCTTTGATTTGCTTTGACGCAACAAACCTTCAAAACAAGAGAACAAACGCTCATTTGAAAAATATTTGTTTTAGTTCATCATCAGTAGATAAGTAAGTTTTCTGATGTATTTTCTATGAAAACACACATTTTACTCATTAATATAAAATATAATATCACTATAATTACAATTCTGTGTGTAACTGTGTTATTTTCATCTTAATCTCAAGTTATGAGAGGGTTTGGGCTCTCGTAACACTTACTACATACGTACGTATGCGTACTCGGCCTATAGCAGCTGAAGGGGTCGTTGTCGTATCAGGTACTACAGATATGTACCCGAGGTACGTATATCAGGATTTGTCATTATTGGTTTGTCATTATCAGGTTTGTCATTATTGCTCCTGCGTATATGATTATATACACAATTGTGTACCAGACCTGTATCTTCTCAGCATATATGTACCCTGTGTTTACATAAACGTACCTGCCCCTGATATGGAGATCGAATGAAGACGGTCATGGAGGAGGAGTAGGGGGCAGGAGGAGGAGGAGGAGGAGGAGGGAAGAAGGCGATGGAGTAGGGGGAGGAGGAGGGGAGGAGGAGGAGGAGTGGAGGAGGAGAAGGTGGAGGAAGAGGGGAGGAGGGAGGAGAGAAGATGATGTGGAGTAGGGTGATGAGGAGGGGAGAAGGAAGAGGAGGAGGAGGAGGAGTAGGGGGAGGAGTAGGGGGAGGAGGAGGAGAGGATGGTGTAGGGGGAGGAGGAGGTGGGGAGGAGGAAGAGGAGGAGGAGGGGAGGCGGGGGAGGAGGAGGAGCGGAGAAGTTAATGGAGATCGAATGAAGAAGGTCATAGAGGAGGAGGAGGGGGCAGGAGGAGGAGGAGGAGGAGGAGAGAAGGTGATGGAGTAGGGGGAGGAGGAGGAGGGAAGGAGGAGGAGGAGGGGAGAAGGTGATGGAGGAGGGAGGAGGAGAAGGAGGAGAAGGGGATAAAGTGATGGAGGAGGAGTAGGAGGCAGGAGGAGGAGGAGGGGAGAAGGGGTTGGAGTAGGTGGAGGAGGAGGAGGAGGAGTAGGAGGAGGGGAGACGGTGTTGGAGTAGGGGGAGGAGGAGGAGGAGGAGGAGGGGAGACGGTGTTGGAGTAGGGGGAAGAGGAGGAGGAAGAGGAGGAGGAGGAGGAGGAGGGAGGAGAGGGGAGAAGGTGATGGAGGAGGAGTAGGGGCAGGAGGAGGAGGAGGAGGAGGAGGAGGAGGGGAGACAGTGATAGATGAGCAAGAGGTGAGAGGTGATCCTACCTCCTGCTCCACCTCCATCACCTTCTCCCCTCCTCCTCCTTCTTCTCCTCCTCCTCCTCCTCCCCACCTCCTCTCCCCTACTCCATCACCTTCTCTCCTCCTCCTCTCTTCCTCCTCCTCCTCCTGCCCCTCCTCCTCCTCTATGACCTTCTTCATTCGATCTCCATCACCTTCTCTGCTCTTCCTCCTTCCCTCCCCTGCCCCCTTCGCTCCTCCTGCCTCCCTCGTCTTCCTCGCTTTCCTGCCTCCTCCTCCCCTACTATTCCTCCGCCTCCTCCTGCCTCCTCTTCCTCCTGTCCCACCCTCTGCCTCCTCCTCCCCTACGACTCTCATCACGCTTCTGCTCCTCCTCCTGCCTCCTGTCTTCTCCTCTCCTCTCACCCACCTCGCTCCCTCCCCGTATCGCCATCCACCCTTCTCTCCTCTCCTCTCTCTTCCTCCTCTCCTCCTGCCCCTCCTCGCTCCCTCTATGACCTTCTTTCATCTCGATCTCCATCACCGTTCATCCGCTCTTTCGCTCCTTCCCCTCCTCCGCTTCACATCTCCTCCTCCTCCTCGTCTTCCTCCTTCCTCCTCCTCCTCCCCCTATTCCATCCCCTCCTCCTCCTCCTCTTCCTCCTCCACCCTCCTCCTCCTCACCTTCTCTCCTGCCTCCTCCTCCTCTCCTCCTCCTCTCTCCCTCCTCCTCCTCCTCCCCCTACTCCATCACATTCTCTCCTCCTCCTCCCCTCCTCCTCCACCTCCCCCTCCTCCACTCCTCCTCCTCCACCCCTCCTCCTCCTCCCTCTACTCCATCACCTTCTTCCCTCCTCCTCCTCCTCGTCCTCCTCCTTCTCCTCCTCCTCCTCATCCTCCTCCTCCTGCGACCTATTCCTCCTCCATCACCTTCTCTCCTCCTCTTCCTTCTCCTCCTCCCTTCTCCAGCACCTTCTCCCCTCATCCTCCTCCTCCTACTTCCGCTCCTCCTCCTCCCCTCCTCCTCCTCCCGCTCCTTCTCCTCCTCCCCTCCTCCTCCTCCCCTATCTTTCTCTCTTCCTCCTCCCTCCATCACCTTTTCTCATCCTCCTCCTCCCTCCTCCTCCTCCTGCCCCCTCTCCTCTATGACCTACTTCATTGCGATTCTCCATCACGCTCCCCGCTTCTCCTCCTCCCCCTCCTCCCGCTCTGTCCTCTTCCTCCTCCTCCCCTATCCCATCACCGTCCTCCTTCCCCCTCCTCCTCCTCCCCTACTCCATCACCTTACTCTCCTCCTCCTCCTCCCCTCCTCCTCCTCCCCTCCTCCTGCCCCCTCCTCCTCCACTACTCCTCCTCCGTCCCCCTCCTCCCCCCTACTCCATCGCCTTCTCCTCATTCTCCCCTCCTCCTTCTCCTCCTCCTCCTGCTTCCTTCTGCCCTTACTCCTCCTCCATGACCGTCTTCATTCGATCTCCATCTCAGGGGCAGGTACGTTTATGTAAACACAGAATCATATATGCTGAGAAGATACAGGTCTGGTTACACTTGTGTATACATATACGTACCTCGGGTACATATCTGTAGTACCTGATACGACAACGACCCCTTCAGCTGCTATAGGCCGAGTACGCATACGTACGTATGTAGTAAGTGTTACGAGAGCCCAAACCCTCTCATAACTTGAGATAAGATGAAAATAACACATATACACACAGAATTGTAATTATAGTGATATTATATTTTATATTAATGAGTAAAATGTGTGTTTTTCATAAAGAAATACATCAGAAAACTTACTTATCTACTGTGATGATGAACTAAAACAAATATTTACAAACGGCGTTTGTTCTCTTGTTTGAAGGTTTGTTGCGTCAACAGAAATCAAAGCAGCCAATCAGAGAACCCGTGTAGGACGTTTGCGCATTTGCCGGTACGGAAAAAATAGACGCGAACCGGCAGGCAGGTTATTGTAATGTCGAACTACTGCTTCCATTTTCTCTTTTTTGTTGAAGCCGATGTGTCAGTCAGTGGGGGAATATTTGAAATTGATTACCGAATGAATAACGAAGAAAATCGTGTTGATTTAAGATTAGGGCAGTAACAAAATAGGGCTCTTGCTATCAAATACGTAAATACGTATTTTACCATAGGACAAATAATGATGCAAAGACTTTAATAGTGCGGGGGCACTATTTTAATAATTTGCGGATTCGCGCAGATACATTCAGTAAGGGAGACACATATACATCCATGTATCGATATATGATACATGTAAGTCAGTATACGGGTGAATAAACGGCAGAAACAAGAACAAAACGAAAAGGGTTCCAATGAGCAAAGCTTTTATACGGATAACTGTATGAAGTGGAATGTTATGCATGGATGGTGACCAGTGGCGTAGCTAGGATTTTTTCAGCGGGGGGCACTGGGGGGGCCTTACATTTTCGTGGGGGGCACAATATATATAACTTTTCTTTGTATTATACTGTTCTAACGCAGCATTCTTAATTCAATTTTTTTTATCAAACAGTGAATTTTCAGTGGGGGGCACCTGGGGGGGGGGGCACAGAAAATTTGTGGGGGGGCAGCGTGCCCCCCCCAGGCCCCCCGTAGCTACGCCCATGATGGTGACCACGAACATTTGCAAATAAAGCAGAGCGTTGAAAAGATAAAGTTGAGTTGTAGGTGCAATAGTAGAACCACGTCGTCGCGGCCTGCAAAGCGAATCTTTCCTTGCTGTGTTATACCTCTTCTTCGCCAACTCAAAGTTGGCAGTGTAATGAACCCAGCTTTAGCCTATCATGCCCACATACGCCACGCACAGCATGCACTGACGCGCGCGCCACAACAAACACACACTACCGGTTTGTTCATATGGGCCACCGTACACACACGCACGCACGCACGCACGCACGCACGCACGCTAGCACGCAGGCACGCCACACACAGTCACACACGCACGCACGCACGCACGCACACACACACACACAAACACACACGAGCGCGCGCGGGGGTCATTCTATATTGACCAGCCCACAGCAAAGCAACAGCAGAATGCGTCATTTGAGAGAGAGCTACACCAGGATGTTGTGCTATATACTGCTGACAGTCTCGCCCAGGGCGGGCCGGGCGGGCCTTCCACTTATAACCACGCGATTTATGCAGCATTAGTTATATGTACCATCCGGTCCGCAGGTCCAACGTTCACTTACACAAGACTTATTTGTATATTCAGTGCGAGCGCAGGGTTCAACTATAGATAACTTCGAACTAAAGTCGCACAGGAAAACAAACCCAAATAAGCCGACATGGTTTCAGTTGCTGAAACAGATTACATTCAATGTACACTGGATATTTTGCGCCACTCAAGATTATTGTACGAGAGATCCGATTAGATATAGCCTACTATACTAGCTTCGGCGATAACTTTGACTCGACAGGTATATTACAGCTATAACGACACAACGCTAACACGACGCTATAATAACGTCGCTATGACCAAGATGATGACATTAAAATTCGTGTAAAATTTCAACCGAAATTCAACGACACAGTTTACAATTATGTACACAAATGCCCCCGACCACATGCACACGCGCACGCACACACGCACGAACGCGCATGCACACGCGTAAGAAATGACGTCTATCAATACTTAAAAGATTGTGGCAGAAAGTTAAACGTGAAGCCGAGTGTTATTTATAACGTATTTTATTATTAATCATACGTGTATCACAATAGTTTTCATGCAGGAATAAATTTCATCCAGTCTTTACATACTTCAATCACTAGGCATTATATGCTCAAGTTCATTGAGCGTGGGAACGAACGGAAAATTATAAAACGAAATCAAAATTTTAAATGGTAACAAAACTAGCTTTAATATCTGAAAAAGAAGGGAAGTGCTTGAATCATTATGCATTAATTGCTGGTATGCAAAGTGCAGGCAAAATTAAACAGAAAAATTTCCTGGGGGAGGCCCCCCAGACCACCCGCCATGTGCTTCCGCGCCTAACGGCGCCCACTATGGGGTGGTGTGCCCTTAAAATCTGGAAAAATACTGTCTAGCTTCAGCCCTGGATCCGCACCTGTTGTCGTCGATCTTTGGAAGAAAAATTACCATTGTAGTTTTACATTCCTTGGAAAATTACACTACTGGAAGACCAGGAGGAAGGAAACAGAACGCGCCATTTTGCGAACTATTTTGCTTCCTAATTACAGAGATTACGTTCAGTTTCAGTCAACGCATTTTTAGCACGATTAGACATAATACGCTACCTGTCATAGCAAGTCGACTGAAATTATTATATCACTATAAATAGTAATATTTTTTTAAATATATATAATATGAAAATTTTGCTATATGGTTTTAACCACTTCCTATGGTTAACTGCTGTATTATATATTATTTTTATCGTTCCCTGTGGTATAAACATACTCTGTGACAATGAACTGGGGTTCTTCGTGTATTTTAAACTACTTTACACACGTGTACCGGGCATAAGAACTTTTAAGAAAAATATAACGTTGCCAGTTATTACTTTTCAACTATGTTTTTACATATTCACGCCCCATATAACCATGACACAGTCAACTTAGTTTACAACATTTTTGCGTAAAGAACCTGTGCTGGTGGTGTAGGGTAGAGCTGCGTAAATAATAATGAAAGCATATGTGGCGCTAGCCAGGCGCCATACATTGGTAGTACATTGATATACGTGCTCTGGTAGTAGTATATAATCAAGAGCTAATAATACCTAATATTAGCTCTCGATATAATGTCGAGAGCACATAAACCATAGGATTGATATACTCTCGATAATACGCATATTGGTTTGCAATAGGAGTAAATATAATCCTTCACATTGTTTACTGCTCGTTTGCATGCTGCATCGGTACTATTACAGCAAGCAAAACAAAGAAAATTTTGCAAATACATATAGCTAGGTTGAAGCTTACTAAAAGGCAGTGCTTTTATCTCATGCACGCCGATTCCTCTTAGAAATGTTGGAAGAACCAAAGATTCAATCCCTATATAAACCAATAAAAAATAAGCAAAGATAATGCCACATATATATATATATATATATATTAGCAATCACCATCCGACGTAACAAAGTTCACTTAGTTAAGCTCGCTGGGCAGCCAAGTAGAAAAACGTTAAACCGAACAAGTAAATTGTCGTTTTACGATGGTTCTGTCACACACTGCTGTACGCACGCAGCCAAAACAGATAATGGACCGCTAGGAGAAGTGTTCATCACATTATTGAGATCCTTCTACATCTCTTAGAAAGGGAAAGAGATAACATGTTACTAACCAAAAAGACATCTAGGTGCCGGTAAACGTTCGGAATAATACTTTCTCATTACTTACCGTGCAAACATAGAAAGATCATTAATCCACTCTTCATGATTACAAGAATCCACGCTGCACTGACATCATTCACCGACATATTTTACTAAACAAAGAATCAACATAAATCACCAGGAAGTATTCTAAAGTATTGTAGGGTATAGAGATGAAAATAACCTGCAGGCCCACGGAACGGGGGGGGGGGCTAAGGGGGCTCGAGCACCCCCACTTGTTTCACGCCACATAAAATTAAATGCGAGAGAGAGCGAGGAGAGAGAAAAGAGAGAGGAGAGAGAAAAGAGAGGCGAGAGAAGAAGGGACCCAATATCGGGGATTTTTGGGATAGCGACCAGATTGTTCTGTTAACTGTGTAGAGTGGACAGTATAGTCAACAAAATCATTGAATAAAAAAGAAAGAAAAGAAGTTTACTCTCCATTAACCAAGTGAATATTTTCACTCTCTGTCTGGTGTTGTTTTGAAGTAAAAGAAAAAATTTAATCTAAAATTCGGGCTTGAAGTTCGGGCTTGAAGTAACTAAGTAAAGATGGTGGTGATGGCCATATACGTTAAGCCATAATAAACATTCTACTGGATCTTCCGCAAGTTGCATTTCAGTATTTATGTATTTCAGCATTCAGTATTTATGCAAATTCCCCTAAACGCGAAGCCATCTTTGGAAAAATCAAATATGACATAGATTTGGATACAGCAGGTATTAAGGTGCTATGTCCAACACAGTGGACAGTCCAAGGAGGTCGTATAATCCTAAACTATGAAGCCCTTCTTCTTGAGTGGGACGTGTGTTCAAGTGAACGTTTAGACACAGAAACAAAGGCGAGAATAATCGGCGTTCAAGCGCAGATGGAAACATTCAAGTATCTATTCGCATTACACATGGGCGAACAACAAATTGAGCACCCCCACTTCAAAAATCGTTCCTCAGCGCCTGATCGGAAAGACAGCATACGCACATTCCCAGTTTCAAATAGCACCATAAAGGGGCACGAACTGGCATTTAGGTGCTGTGTCACTCCCAGTCTAAAAGGTGCTGTAAAGAGTACATTTGCACCAAGAAATAGCCAATTATCAAAAAACCGTGTCAAACTCCTGCTATGCAAAACCTTACAGTTGGCCCAGTTTCTAAACATCGCAACAGCTAGCATAACCTATGTAATAGCACAAATGAATCAATAAAATTCCAGTTTGCTCCAAGTAACTGGGTGCTATTGGTCACTATTTTTAGGAGTTATACGCTATTATATTAGACAAAGTGATTGAAAACTACATAATTTGACACCAGTGTGCCAGCTTGGTCTGACTGAAATCAGAAATAGACTGACGTTGCATTTTCAGACAATGCAAACACATGGTATAACATGCTACTAGCATTTCGGTTTCAATTATTTAAGTCATGTCGTTTCAGGTTTTCCATGTCCCGATTGAACGGCAGTCATAATGGTTGTTTATTTAGTTAGGCTGACAGCACATAAACGTCAGATTGTGTCTCTTTAAACTAACCGAAGTATAGACACGCCTGCTCGCAACTGCAGAAAATCGTATGGTACTATCAAAAAAAGGGAACCCTACCCCTGGCGAATTTCGTCAAACGCCCAGATCAGCAAGAAGTAGCGCGAGCTCAGTGTCGAGTTGTGGCGCCCCCTGTGCCAGCTCATCTGTGAGCCCCTGGAGAGCATCTGCGACGTCTGCGAAGTCGCTCTCGCTCAGCACGACACCACCGCCTCCTGTCGACGCGACGTCCGCATACACAATCTCGTAGTCGTCGTCGTCGTCGTCGTCATCGTCGTCATCGATGAAATCACTTACGTCATCGCAGGAGAAACCTGGGTGCTCCACGATCGGTGGCGGAGGTGGGCACGGCCCATCGTCATTGCTCGATACTTGTTGCCGTGATGGAAGCAGATCAGAGGATGCGGGAGGACCTCCGTGGCTGCCGCCCTTGGTTGCCGCGGGCAACAAGCGCTTCGCACCACTGTACTTTTCCCTTAGTGAAATTTTCCGTGAAGGTTGCGGCGACTTTGCTAAAGTTTCCTTGATTTTTTGTTGAAACCGATTGCCTGCATGTTCCACAGCTTCCAGCTTGACGATTTGTTGTGGTCGTAGGGCAACTGTGAAATATTATTAATAAGTGCATATAATAGGAATAATTAATTCATGCAGTAACCAGGTTGTGCAATTATTTGTAAGTCCTTACATGGGGAGTGCATTAAGAGCAGTATCACTGCAATCGGTTCTTGGTATACTACACCTATTGATTTTAAATACTAGTACATTACTATGCCACTACCATTATCTATATATGGTGACAACCTGTGGTCAAGTACTGGCTATGGCAAACAATAGCTTCTGTGATGCCTACAGATATTTTTTCATGGAGAATAAATCAGAATAGTGGATTGTATACAAATAGCCAATCTAGTTAATTACACAATTAAAGATGGCACTTGAAAGTCATGTTGATAGATAGAAATTGTTACCTATGTAATAGTAATAGCATGCTAAATAAATCCACCTATTTACCCTTGCCTAAAATAATATTTCACATAAAGAGCCACTCACTTTCGCCTTTTTTGTGTTTGTCCAACAGTTTTTCACAGGTATCCATCTGGTGGACGAGCTGTCCAATGTCTGGGTCCTGTTCGAGTTCGGTCTTTAACTGACACTCACGAATCTGCTCACTAGGTTGAAACTGGAAATATTTAGGAAATTATTGACGGTCTAAGCTAACGATAAGAGGTTGTATGTAAGTTGTTTAACTGCCTGACGACCGACTGAGCAACCAACCAAGAGGTGTAGACAATGATCAACAACTAAAACAGCACAAATTCATTTAGGATTAAAAAAAATTCCCTAACTATCCCTTTTCCCTTTTTTTATGATGGACGCGTAAGTTGTTTTTTTGAAAAACACATAAATAGACACACCGTTCCGGAACTATGTTGTATGTAAATATAATGCTATCTAGTAAATAGTGCTTACAAGTTTTTCTTTGCTTTCTGATAACTGCAACCTTAGCATCTCCGATGACAATGCTGCTTTTAGAATCTCAAGGCGTTTAAAAATTTCATCGTTGATCTCGGTGAAGTGTTTCCTGCAAATATGAATTATCATGTGCAACACTGTGCTGACTGGGTTATATACAAGATATAGCAAATACATACTAGACCAAAACTTCTAATACTGATTGGGTACACATAAAAGAAAATTGCACAGTCATTTATGTGAATGAGGTTCTTTGAACCCTACTCTTCACAAAATTGTGCAACATAAAATGTTAAAGTTGTAATGTTTTGCAGATTTGGTTAACAGACAAATAAAAATTTCTGTTTTAAAATCCCTCCCCCCCCCTCATGTTTGTGATAATATTGATAGTTGCAATTTCACCTTAACAGTTCTAAATGTTTCTATATTTACTATATAAAGGGAAATGATGTGGTATGTTTAATGCATATTTTCAGTTAGTGTGTTTAAATTATACTACATGTAATATAAAATGTGATTGTGGCAATTATCTGGCACACAATTGGGCACATCTGCACTGTGCCATTGACACTACTATAAACAGCTCTCCAAGCATTTAACTGGGGCATGTTCACAGGGGCAGGTTGATCGTATAGATTCCTATCAATAACAAGTGCCGCAGAGCGACAGCGCTCACCTGACGGCAGGTGTTCTGATGCTAAACTCAG